ATAAAGTAAAACATTTACTAATCACATGCTTCCAGCCTGAAAAACTAGATTTAGTAATCCTCAAAAGGTGATGAATTTAGTTTCTATCTCAATAGTAAAGAGCCAACATAAAACAAATATCATCATAAAAACACAGGAGCTGGCTGAGTGATGTAGAATTTGCTAGTCCAAGATAGTTGGCTCAGCTTGAATAAATGGTCTTTTCACTCCGTGGAAACAAGAAAACTGAAACATCATCCAAGTCTGCAATCAGAGACTGCACAAAAGTTAGATGATCAGAGCTAATCTAGAGAGAAACTGCCTTTTCTTCACAGAAACAGGAATTATGATTTTAAAAAATGTTTTGAAGAATTAAATGCAATTTTTTTTTCATTTCTGCTGGATTAGTTTCACCCTATTTACTTATTTTCCCAGATTTATTTTCTTCACCCTATTTTTTTTTTTAATATATTGTTGTTTTTCTAGAATTCCTTATCTGGCTACTGTAATCCACAGTGAATGTTTTCAAGTGTTGACTACTTTGATAGAATTTTAAAAACCTAATGTGATCATCAAAAAGATGTCCAAAGATATTACAAATGAGGTTCAAGACATGCTATCCCAAAATATGGCACTTTGGCATTTCAAGAACTAGCAAAGAAAGAAAAATCACTCTTGTGATTGACCCTTCTCCCCTAAAGCAGGCTATAAAACCTAGAAAGAATTCTTTGACCTCCCTCTGAGTAAGAACTTCATTCCAGAGATGCCCCGGAGGAAAGAAATATCCTTATCTTTCAAGACACAGGGATACAGAGAAGAATATGAACAAATAGGCCTTGCAAGGTGGTCCCCAATTTATTAGATTATATCCCTTTTATAATACTTCCCCATAACCAGTTGTCATCAAACCAAGCATAAAAATAGTTTTTCCTGTTTCTTCGGGTTTCCATTTCCTTATGAAGGTTCCCATGTCATGTAAAAACTATATTAAGTAAATTTGTATGCATTTCTCTTATTAATCTGTCTTTTGTTACAGGGCCTCAGCCATGAACCTAAAGATAGGTGAGAAAAATATCTTTTCTACCCTACACTACTTGTAACCTAGTAAAAATATTATGTGCAATGAATCTAAGGTTTTTAAACTTTTAATTAATTTATTTTATTTCTTGTAGACAGGTGATCTTGCTATGACGGCCAGGCGGGTCTCAAACTCTTGGCCTGAAGCAACCCTCTGTCTTGGGCCTCTCAAAGTATTGAGGTTACAGGCATGAGCCATTACACCCAGCAAAGTCTAGGGTTTTGAAGAGCTACCAGGAAGACTACAAGATATAACGCCTTAATACTATAAATGTTAAGAAATACTTAACATTTTTATATAAATACTTAAATATTTTTATATATTGATATATTTCAGAACGTTTCTGGATGTATAAAGGTTTATAATTGTCTTATATTACTAGACTATACCTTTTATCACATATAAAACTATAACTTTGTCCATTTTAATACTTTTCTCCTTGTACTGCACTTTGTATAATATTGTCATTTAAAAGTTTCTTTTAAATTCCACTTGCTGTTATCTGCACCCTCCCTCTCCATGCCCACCTTTATTTTCAATCTTTCTGTGTCAGGACAACTTAAGCAGTAAATGAGTAACCGGTTACCCAAGGCTACCCTCTAGTGGTTGCTCATAGCATATTAAAATATATATTTTTCTATCCATGTTAAAAATGAATCAAACTGTAGAAAAAGAGACAAGATCTTTAGCACACTTTTACTTACTCTGTCAATTATCAGATTAGCTCCAGAATAACTCTTAAACTAAATTGCTAAAGGATTAAATGATTCTCACAAAGTCACAACAATATCTTGAGATATTTCACTTATTAGATTACATGTTCTTTTCTAGTCATCTAAGCATTACTACATAACAGACAACCAAAAGAACAAAATTCTATAAAATTTTTAAAAGTAGCCATAAATAATAGAAGACTATACCATGCATTGAAATGACAAATGCGATGAGCTGAAGTTTTAATTTACTGTGACAAGCCAGATTGTTCCTGTACAATTTCAAGGACAAAAAAAATATGGATCTATAGCCTCCTGTTGTAAGCAAGGGTTTGTTTCTTTTCTAAAGGTCAGGAACCAATAGCTCACACTCGGTGAGACTAAATTCCCTAAGGGCTGCTTCTGAAGGAGATTAAGAGAGAAATGTATCCAAAAAAAAAGCTACATCAAGAATTAGAAAAAATGTATGTTAGGTGACAGATGGCTAATTTATTTTTTTAAACACATTTACAAGGCCTTTTGGAGATGTGGTTGATTTCAGGACTGAGGAAGGGAAAATACAAGATGAGTCTGAAGCATCTCTTGGTGCCAGAGAGGATGTGCTCAAAAGGAGGTTGCCAGTGTGTCAAAAAGGCATAGGAACCAACCTGAAAGAGCTCCCAGTGGCCAAAGCTGGAACATTCTGGACAACAAAATCAACAACAAAGACTGGATTATAATCCATAGAATAAAATACATATCCATGAATGTGGATAAGTATTTTAACATAAGTAACTGAAAAACAAATGGGTGGGGCGGGGGGAAATGACAGCTTTTCCTTACAGAAAACTTCCAATAATAAACATAGATGGAATGGGGGAAATAGAAAATAACCTTTAGAGCACCTTAGTGATAATACTTGCAGGCAAGATCCATGGAGGGATGCCAAAAATCAGTGGGGAAATGGGACATTTACATAGTCTACAAGTATGTCCCCCAAGATGTTCTGAGGAGAACATAGTAACTCTACAGTGGAGAAACCCAGCAGATAACACTTTAACCACGTGATCAAGGTTAGTATCACCAATAATAAGTTATCATTATAAATAAGTATTGGTATCACATGCCCTTAGAGGGATATGATCAGAAGTGAATATCATGCCTGTCCTGCCAAAAATGCAGAACCTCAATCTAATCATGAGAAAACTTCAGACAAACCCAAAGTAACCAGTATCCTTCCAAAGCATCAAGGTCATGAAAAGAGAAGAAACGACTGAGAAATTGTCACAGACTACAAAAGGTTAAGGAGACATGACAGCTAAATGCAACGTGGAGTCTTGGATTGGATCTCAGAACAGCAGAAGGGCAACAGTGAGAAAAATGGTAAAATGTGAATAAAGTCTCTAGTTAACAGTATTGTACCAATGTTAATTAGTTGATTCCGACAGGTGAATAATGTTTGTGCAAGATGCTAATATTAGGAGAAGCTTGGTGAGACTGTATATAACTCTTTGTACTATTTTTCTAACTTTTCCATTAGTCTAAACTTTTTTCACAAATAAAATGTTTCTATCTAGGCATGGTGGCTCATGCCTGTAATCTTAGCACTTTGGGAGGCCAAGGCAGGTGGATCACTTGAGGTCACGAGTTTGAGACCAGCCTGGTCAACATGGTAAAACCCCGTCTCTACTAAAAACACAAAAATTAGCTGGGCCTACACAGTGGTGGGCACCTGTAATTCCAGCTACTTGGAGGCTGAGGCAGGAGAATCACTTGAACCCGGGAGGCAGAGGTTGTAGTGAGCCAAAACCAAGCCACTGCACTCCAGCCTGGGCCACACAGCAAGACTCCGTCTCAAAAAACAAAAACAAAAGTTTATGTACCAAGCAATGACCAAGTACAACACAGATTACCTAATTTGATTGTCCTAACAACTCGGCAAAGGTAGTATGAATATCCCTATTTTACAGCCTAGGAAACTGCGACTTCAAAAGATTAAGTGAAATGTTCAAATGCACACAGTAAGATGTTGTGTCAGGACTGAAACCTTGTTATGACTTGTTCAGTCTCTATTCTTTCTACCAGGTTACCATGAGGATGCACACAGGCATGTATTCACCCAAGAAACAGAAGTAATCTCTTCTAAAACTAGAGTCAAATTTTAAAGTGGCAGCAATGCTAAAAAACAGCAGAGGCTATATTTAGAATCTAGTGGCAATTTTCAATTTGCTTAAAATATGCAGTTTTGGGGAAACATGCTTTTCCGTCAAAAAGGCAAATTTCTATATATTTAAATAAAGCCATTTAAATTTACTGTGACATCCAGCAAGTCTTATAAAACTACACAAATTAGAATATACTGCTATGCTACCCAATATGAAGTGTAAAAAAGATGAATTTATAACAAAGGTTATTTAACTTCAATAGGCATAGTTGTTTTATTACACAGTTCAAAGATACCTAATACAGATAAGAAGGGAATTTTCAGATGTCTTAGTGTTTTTTTCCTTGCAACATTAAGCCATTTACCTACATAAACACCATATAAATATTTAATACAAAGAAGGAGCATATCAAGCCCTATAAAAATACCTGAGAAATAAAATGTTCATGACGGAAAAGAAATGATTCCCCCTTTTCCCTTTTAGTGATACGTTATAGGCATCATAGTAATGACAGGGTACTTCACTCTGTGAATTATGATAAAGAATCAGAATTAAACCTCTAAACAAAGTGGTTCCTTTCTTATAACCAAATGTAACTGAATTAAATTATTGATGAACTGTGTTCTCTGCAGTGCAGGAAGACGGCTCTACCAAGGGAGATCTATATAAACTTCACTGTCAGGCTTCAGGTTATCTGTTTACTTCTGAACTTTAATGTGATTTACCATTAAGAAACTGAATTTGTTTTGCCACACTATCCCCCCTTTGAATGAACTATACACTGGAAATATGCTAATAGAAAAAGTAGGTAAAACAAATTGCATTTTTCCCCAATTCTACAACCTAAAATTTTTTTAAAGCACATAATTTTAAATGTTAGAAGATGATTTGAATATCCTAACAAATCTCTCACATACTTATTTATAGGAATTTAACTTAAAAATTAAAATATCGGCCTGGTGCAGTGGCTCATGCCTATAATCCCAGCGCCTTAGGAGACCGAGGTGGGAGGATCACAAGGTCAGGAGATCGAGACAATCCTGGCTAACATGGTGAAACCCCATCTCTATTAAAAACACAAAAAATCTGTAGCCAATTAAGCCCACTGGGTTCCTTTCCTCATGGGGGCCCAGTGTGCAATGGCTGCAAACAGCAGCTTCCTTGGCAGTGTATGCAGCCTGTTTCTTGCATGGGTTGCTCTAGGGGACCTTGGAGACAGGTCTTCCAGATGTATGTTCATGTGTCTCACCTTGCGCTTCCCCAATATAGGCTCCAAACAGGGATGCGACGTGCCTTTGGAAAGCCCCAGGGCACTGTGGCCAGGGTTCACATTGGGCAAGTGATCATGTCCATCCGCACCAAGCTGCAGAACAAGGAGCATGTGATTGAGGCCCTGCGCAGGGCCAAGTTCAAGTTCGCCAGCCGCCAGAAAATCCACATCTCAAAGAAGTGGGGCTTCACCAAGTTCAATGCTGATGAATTTGAAGATATGGTGGCTGAGAAGCGGCTCATCCCAGATGGCTGTGGGGTTAAGTACATCCCCAATCGTGGCCCTCTGGACTAGTGGTGGGCCCTGCACTCATGAGGGCTTCCACTGTGCTGTCCCCTTGTAATATGAACCAATAAATTTACTTCCTGTCCAAAAAAAAAAAAAAAAAAAAACACAAACACAAAAAATTAGCCGAGCATGGTGGCACGCACCTGCAGTCCCAGCTACTTGGGAGGCTGAGACAGGAGAATCGCTTGAACCTGGGAGGCAGAGGTTGCAGTGAGTCAAGATCATGTCACTGCACTCCAGCCTGTGTGACAGACTGAGACTCCGTCTCAAAAAAAAAAAAAAAAA